CTCCTTCCGCTCCGCGACGGCTACACCTCGATCGTGTGGTCGTGCACGGAGGACATGGCCGACGAGCTCATGGCGATGAACGCGGAAGAATTCCAGGCCGCGCTCAACGACGCGCTCTTCCGCCCGTCGGCGCCGCCGGCGATCCCGGACGTGCCCGTGCTCAAGGACCTCCTCACGGGCCTCCACAACGCCGCGCAGACCGTCATGGCCGCCGGCGCCATGTCGGACCCGTTTGTGGCGCCGCCGCGCGTCACCGAAGTCGTCGGCAAGCGCTTCTCGTTCCCGCTCAAGCTGCAGCACGCGACCCGGTACACGCGGGACTGCGTCGCGCTCGTCGGCGACTCGGCCCACAGCATGCACCCGCTCGCGGGCCAGGGCCTCAACATGGGCCTCGCCGACGTTGCGTCGCTGAGCAACCTCCTCGCCGAGGGCGTCAAGACGGGCACCAACATCTCGGCGCCGACGTTCCTCCAGCACTACGAGAACGACCGCAAGGCCGCCAACGTGAGCATGTCGCTGGCCATGGACGGCTTCAAGCGCCTCTTTGGTCCGACGCCGGACGCGGTCGGCGCCGCGCGCAACCTCGGCATGGGTGCACTCAACGCCATCGAGCCTGTCAAGACGCAGATCATCCGCTACGCGATGGGCTTGTAGAGACGCTGTGTCCGAGCGTCGGTAGTAGGAACCCTAGTGTCATCATTTTCAACCCGCACCCTGGTTGTTGTCGTTGAGCTCGTTGACCGACGCGTTTACCCTAGTTTACCCCACGCGCCCTTTGGTTCGCGCCGGTTTGGTTGGCGCGGTTTTTGGTCATCCGGATACGCCAGGAAAAGATCGTACCGACATACAAACGTCAAGTGGTTTATTAGGGCCTCGGCGGCGGACCATCCGGATAGCGGTGCAGTGACCGCAGGTTGGTTTTGGTTGCGATGCGAGGGGTAGCGCGGTGGCTCCAGCAGGCCGCGCCCGCTGCGACCGGCGACGTCGAGGCCATCGAGTCGGAAGTGGACGACGACGAGTTCGTCGACGGCAAGAGCAAGCGGCCCAAAGAAGCCGAGGGCAAGAAGCGCAAGGCCAAGCCAAAGCCCGACAAGAGCCAGCTGCGGTTGAGCTTCTTCTGCCAGCCGCCGCCGCCGCCGACCGAGCCAAAGGTAGCCGCCAACGCCGTGGTCGAAGTTGCCGCTGCCAAGCGAATCGAGATTGTGACACTTGACGAAAGCGTCGACTGCATCGAGATCCCGGACGAGCCAGCCCCGTCGCGAGCGCGGCGCGCGGCCAAACGCAAGCCGTCGGCCACGACCGACGCGTCGTCGTCCGAAGACACGGTGGCGCCGACACGAGCCAAGCGGCGCGTCCGGGACAAGCCGGCGAAAAAGGCGACCGCGCACGACGACGACGACGACGATGCGATCGAGATCTGGTCCCCCGAGGCGCCGCAGAAGAAGCGCAAGGACGCCTTCTTCCTCACGCCGCAGCAGCGCGAGGCCATCAAGGCGCAGGAAGCCATCGTACGCGAGCAAGAAGCGCTCATCAAGTTTCAAATCGACATGGAGAAGCGCAAGGCGCTCGACATGGCATTCTCGCCAACAAGAGCGCCGCTGTCAACCCGTTTTTTCAAAAAACCCACCCGACCGCCAAGGCGCCGATCGTCCTCGATGGCGATGACGCGCCAACGTCGACCATCAAGTGGTCGAGAGAGCCCATGCCGTACCCGCCGGGGCACCTCTGGCACGTCAACCGGCTTCCACCCACTGCGGCGCCGCTGCAGCCACTGCCCATCGGCCTCAAAATCGATGTCCCGATCGTAGTCGATGTGGCCAATATGTCGTCGCCGCCATGGCGCGCCTTTGCGGCCGACCACGACGTCGACCGTCTCCACGAGCTCATGCGGGACGAGGCGCTCTGGGTGCACTCGGCCATCGCAGTGGACGCGTCGACGTCGTCCGGCGTCAGCAGTGCGCAGCGCGGACGCTGGATGCAAGCGTTGAAAAGCCGGCGCACCGACCCCGGCTTGCTCTCGGTCGACACGTTCGCACCGACGTCCTTTAACGGCGTTGTCGGCAGCAAGGAGAGCGTCGTCGCGCTGTACCAATGGCTCCGCGCGTGGAAGACGTTGCGCAGCGGCAAGCAGCCCGACCGGTCGTCCTACATGGAGTTTTTCATGGACCCCGAGGACTCGGACGACGACGAAGAGGACACGGAGCTCTACCGCCTCCTCGTGCTCCAAGGCGAGGTAGGTGCCCCTACTTCAGGACTTCGTACCATCCTCTTGCAAAGGCGGGCGCAGGCAAGACGTGCAGTGTGTACGCGTGCGCGGCCGAGCTCGGCTACCAAGTGCTCGAGATCAACGCCGGGCAGCTCCGGTCGGGCAAAACGCTGCTCGAGCTCGCGGGCGAAGCGACGCAGTCGAGCCGCGTGCTCGCGTCGACGACCAGCGCGTCATCGGCATCGGCGGCCAATCGTCCGCTCGTGGACGTGAGCCGCGTCCTCGACGAAGACTTTTACTCGGACGATATCCGCGCCAAGAAAGACGCCAAGCGCGCGGCGAAAGAGCAGAAAAGCAAGAAAAAAGCCAGGAAGAAAAACGGGAAAAGGAAGATTTTACCGCCTCGAAAACGCTCTCGCTCGTGCTCCTTGAAGACGTACGACAGACACCCTTTGCGATCTGGCATCACACCACGCCTCTTCTCTAGGTCGACGTGCTGTTTGACGCGGACAAGGGCTTTCTCAGCGCCTTGTCGCAGATGGCGCGGCAGGCCAAGTGCCCGATCCTCGCGACGTGCACGCGTGCGTCCTCTGCGCTATCGCACGTGAACCAACAATCTATGATGCTGTAGACCTACCCGAGAACTTTCCGTCGCACCCGCCGTACTTGCTTCGCCAGTGGCGCCGGCCGACGGCCGCCGAATTCACGACGTATCTCTCGCTCATGAGCGAGAACGAGCAGTGGGCACTGCCACCGACGGCCATGACGCGTCTGCACCGCATCTTTCGTGGCGACGTGCGCCGCGCGCTGCATTTTTTGGACTTTTACAAGCCACTGGACCAGCCGTGGACACACATCGTGTGGCGTCCGTATGCGTCCCAGGACGACAAGGATGATGACGCGCCGATGGTCGACCTCACCGAGGGCGTCCCGCTGCTCGCCTCGGCGTATGCGGCGTCCGGAGTCGATGTGCTCCATGCTACGTACCTCGTCGAGTGGCGACGCCGGTATGGCGACGAGGTGACCGAAGGCCCTGCGTCGTGGGCAGACAACGATCGTCCGTCACGGCGTCAGTGCGACGAGATGGAAGCCGTCGCGCTCCTGGCCGATGCTGTGAGCGATTCGGATGTTTGGCTGCGCACGGTATGATGCTACCTTGTTTGTGCATACTTCTCAGTAGGTGAGTAGGACGACGACGACGACGACGATGACGGCAGGCGGGTCGTGGTGCAGGGCGTGCGGTCGATGGCGTGTGACGTCGGCTTTGCGCTCGGCGACGAGAACGACGACGAAGCAGGCCTCGCCGCGCTCGACGGCCTCGACCTGTGCAGCGACGCCATGGACAAGGAAGCAACGATGTACGTGTCGTGCGTCAGGGACGAGGCGGATACTCATCCATGCCATGTAGTCGGCGCAACCAAGCCGAGCTGGGCGACCTCATGGAAGCGTTGCACGTCTCGATGGAGACGTCGAAAGGGTCGGTGGAAATGCGAGAGAAGCTGGTTGTGTGATGTTGAAGCGTAGGATGCGACGCCTGCGCGATGGCGCGGTCGACACGATGCCGTTCCTGGGCCGCATGGCCAAATCCGACTCTGTGATTCAGCAAGTGCGACGCCGGTCGTTGGGGTACGCCTTTTCTTTTTCTTTTTGTGTTTTTTTCAATTATCAACTTGATATTCTAGGCGCAAGGGGTATCTCGCCAACGTCATTTCCGACAGCAGCCTCATCGCGACGCTGCAAGACCGAACAAACTATCATTAATCCCACCACCAACCTTCTCTCTCGGTCGTCGCCTCTGCGTTGAGACAGCTGAAAAACGCCATGGCTCGATCTCTCGTCACGTGTACAAGGCACGCAGCACCCTCGCCCGGCTCGAGGCAGTTGGCGCCAGGATCGGAGCTCGATGCCTCGGTGAGAGGGACGACGATGCGCCGAGGGCTGACAGTCTTTAAAGTAGCCGAGATGTTGGGGAGACTGGAAAGCATCCTCTGTCGCTTGCAGAATCTACGACCTTGAAGCGCGTGTTGCGTTTCAACCGTCAAAGTGCCAACCCACCGTCGACGGGCGAGGGGACTTCGTTGCTCTGGATAGAACAACAATCGAGTGACTTCTCGAGCGATGCAGCTCAGGACATGCACGCAGTTGGGGATGCCCTGCAGAACCCAAGCATTCCTTGGAAGCACACATGACACTCAAACGCTTGACCAAAGACGCTACTGGTCCGTGGAACGAGATGCTGTCGACATTGACGTTGGGTAAAAAGTTTGAGGCTTTAGAAGAGCGGCCTGGCGGAGTCAGGTAGAAGCAGCGCGGGAACCAACAACTGTACGCCTCGTCACGAGGATATTGCTGGCGCGTTCTCAGCTCGATCGTTTGGCTGCATCGCGGCTTGTACTTCGGCGGTCGTGACGGGATCTGGATCACCAAGTCGATCGTTTCGGGTCTGTGCTGCGTAGTCTGCAATCCGTCGACGCACGCAGAGTGTTTTGTTTCTTCAACGAGTCGCTCGAGGCGGCGGGAAGACTCAAGACTCTGCATCGGTCGCGGAATGGTTGTGGACGAGAACGTCCAAGGAGACAATGCTGAATGGCGAAGATGGACGAGCTTGTGGTTGAAGCGCCAGAGTGTGTCTGGACGAGCACGTCGTTGAGAAGACCACCGTTCAGCTTCATTGTCAAAGTCGGAAAGGCATCTTAGCTGAGGACGGTGAGGAGCTGGCAATCACCTCGACGCCAGAGCCCTTGCGTAGATGACGTTGCGGTCTGAGGAAGGCGATGAAGCGCACATGATGGTCACCTCGCGGCACACGGTGCTCGTTTGTGTCTTGATCGGTTGGCCGCAAGACCGCGTTCACTTCTGGGGCGAAGGACGTTGCCTCAGACCCAAGACGGAGTGCCATGGTCTTGGGGATCGTGAAAGCGTACACAAGCTTAGTACGGACGGTGCACTGCGTGCCTACGAGATGCAGACGAGTGAGGCGCCGAGGATTGAGGAGCAATCACGTTTGAAGAAGAATCAAACGCTCAGTACTTGGTGGACGAAGGGCAGCCGTGGAGCGCGGCAAGTGGACCGAGGTGCCGCCCCGAGAACCTGACACGCATTGTCATACTCCAACGTGGTTGAAACGTACATGTACTGCCAGCTCGTAGGGTGCAAGATGGACAACAACCTGTCCAGGTGGCGCCCCATGATGCCGTGCCCTAGAGAGACGCCTGGGGCAACCCGAGTCAAGCCAGCGGGGCAATTGCGTGGCCGGAGGCCATGTCCTTCACAAAACCACGACGTCAAACTCGGTTGTTGGCTGGTTTTATAGGTAGAAAGCGCCCGAGGGCGCGAGGGCGCGGATGGTCGGTAGCGAAACCGAGCGGGGGTTAAAAAAGTAGTTAAATAAGAGGTCGGCATGTCGTGTGAGTGCTGTGGCAGTGCTCTCATTTGACGCAAAACGTAATCGGCTCTCTCATATCCGGGCCTTTTCCACCGCATCCAAGCTGCAACCAGCGCACCTGCGCCGCACCAAGTGTCGCGAGGGCGGGGCAGGGTTACGCCGCTCGCAGCTGGCCTTTTCTGTTGCCGCTTGGTCAGCGCGCAGCAGAATCAGTGGTGCTGATCTCCACGCGTTTACCTTCCAGCCGCTGATCCTAGAAAACCACCCATTTTCAACAGGCTGGAGCCGTGGCCCGGACCAGTCGACTCGGGCGTTCGAGCGTTGACAACTTTAAAGCTGTCTAAAGCGCAGCCGTGACCCGCCAACGCCAAGGGGCCATCGAGAGCGCGGCGTTGCTTGGTACTGGAGCTGCCGTGATTGGTCGCGATAAATGCGGGATCGCAAGCGCAACATAGTCTTGCCAGTCGTGGCACTCTACCTATCGAAGCAATGTTAGCGTCAACAGATCTAGAACAATAAGAACTGTGAATCAAATCGAGTACAAGCCGAATAAACGGAAGCTGCGCAATGACCGAGAAAGTAGCATGTTTCCAACCCCATTTGTCGCCCAGTAGTGTAGCAAGAAAGGAGCTTGCGCAACAAAGCACGATTCGAGCATCGCAACGGCCCGAGAGTCCATTGCACACGATTAGCAGAGACCACAAAGCTAGTACACTCGACACCCGACTACGGTGCCAAAAGTTGCGCATAGCAACACCTGCCGACCTCAGAGCTGCCGACCCCACATCGTGCTGATGCCCAACCGCCAAGACAGTGTTATACAGTAGCACGGGTTGACTCGAAATGGGTGCTGATTAGAAGCCGATTAGAAGAATCCTTTAAGCTCTGTAGCCTTGACACTGCTGTGTACTTCAAGAATTTGCCTTATTCCAACAGTCTCGTACACTACCAGATCATGAGTGCGTGTGGAGAGTGACACTCAAAACGTTCCGCCGAGCTACCGTCGCGCTATTTAAATCCCAGTACCACGAGTGCGAAGAGAGTGTGCCACTCAGCGTATTGTTGCACCAAACGTAATCTACTCTCACGTGGGACCTGTCTCTGACAGGTGCGCACTGCGTTCCATGCAAAAATACTATTTTAAGTATGACGATACAGACCACCAAAGTGTTTACTCCACTAAAAACGTTAGCAGTGACCCCGCGCTAAAACACATGGTCTACATAATGCAACATATGGACCCATCACAGAGTGATGGCGATTGGACGGAATGTTGGCTGTCCAACGCCGTTCACCAGCCGTCAATTTCGAGCCGTGTAGCTTGGTCCATCCAGAGCATCGTCTCATACCTTTACTGAAGCTAACGAACGCTCAAGTCGCCTTACAGTCGTGTTCGCATCACGATTTCCGCCCCGACGCCACACTCTCAGTAGCCTACCCTACCGCCCTCGCACGTTTCGAGCGACTAATAGACACGACGGACCACGGCCAAAGCTGCGACAAATCATCTGCCCATCTGGCTTTTCTGCCGCCCGATTCGCCCTACCCCTCGCCCCCTTGTCACCTACTGTGCCACTCGCTCACATTTCACTTTGCCTTCTCCAGCTTGAGCCATATAAAATGCTGCAGCGCCCCTCCAAGTCACCACCCCGCAGCCCAAAACATCATGACAATGTCGCGCTCGACCTCCCAACGATCCACCCGCGCCAGACCAAAGAGCACCTCCGTGCGACCCACGACGTGTCCTTTGTCGTCTATCTCGGTGGCACCCTCGGCGCCGTCCTCCTCACGTGCAGCCTCCTCGACACCACGTCCTTCTTCCTCCACCTCAGCGTCTACCTCGCCTTTATCGCGTCGGCGTGCGTCGGCCACCGCTACGTGAGCGCCCGCGTCTACGGCGGACGCCCGGCGGTCGCTCTCGGGTATGCGATCGTCGCGCTTGCGTGGCCGTGGCCCGGCCTTGTGTGTATGGCGCTGGCCACCGTCGCCATCCTTGGCGTGTGCGACGTGATCTTGCTGGCGCTCGTGCCCGGCACGGTCCTCGTCGGGCTGTCGTGGGTCGTGTTGCTTGTGGTCGCCACGACCGTGTCGCCGTGGATGGCCTACGTTCTTGGTGCTGCGGCCATGAGCCTCGGTCATCGGCGGCAGCGTGTGGGCCTCGCGCCGCTTGTGCACGGCACGTTCCTTGCGGTTGCGAGCGCCTTTGTTTTCTCGCTCGTCCTCGTCCTAATCGTGCTCTCGATGAACCCGTTCTGGCTCGCGTCCAACGAAGTGTCCAAGTACGACGCACTGCGGTACCTCGGCCGTGACGCGTCGCTCGACGCGACGCGCATATCGTCACTGGACGACCTCGCGACGTGGCACGCGGCGGCGCCGCGGTCCTTCCCCGTCGTGATCAAGCCGAACGTATGCACGACGAGCTCGGCCGGCGTCCGTCTTTGTCGGGACTACGCGTGCTTGGACGCGTACGTGCGTGAGCGCCAAGCGACGGGGTCGCGCCAAGACGACACGTCGTGGGTGCTGCAAAAGGCCGCGTACGGTCTCGAAGCCGTCGTCTTCTTCTACCGGTACCCGTACGCTGGCGCGGGTGACATCAAGAGCATCGGTCTCCGCGACGCGTCGCGCACCGAGGGCGTCGACGGCAACGACCTGCGGGCCAACTACTTTACGTCGGACGGCAATCGGCTCCAGACAGACGCGTTTCTGGCGTACTTTCGCAACATCACTGCGCGCTTTGACGGGTACAGTGGCGGCCGCTTTGACGTGATCCTCGAGAGCGAAGAGGCCGCCATGGAAGGCAGAGGCATTCACGTCATCGACGCCAACATCTTTCCGCTCGGCGACATTGAGGAAAAGCAAAACAATTGGTACGCCAAAGTCCGCGCGCTGCGAACGCTCGGCCTCCAGTTCTGGATGGGCTACAGCACCGTCCTCGGCGGGTACCAATCCCACCCGTGGGTCGTGGCGACCAACATCCCGCGGCTCGTCGAGCGCTACTACCAGTGCCAAAACCACGAAAACTTGTATGCAGTGCCGTAGACATGGTATTCTTTCTACTACATTGTACATTTTGGAATCGTTCTCTTGTGGTTGGCCGACGAACCTAGAGTCGAGGAGTCGCAGAGAGGGACTGGCTCGAGATCAAAGCCAGTCGTCAGCTCGTCATGTCGGGCGCCAAGAAGACCACCGACGTGGTCAAGGGCCAAAGAGGGTTGCAGCAGTCGCACACGGCGCATCTCTTATCGCTTGCTCAGCGTGCAACAGACTTTGTCATCTCCACGAGCACGTCGCTTGTTGGTCGTTAGTCGGTCGCTAGTCGGTCGTGAGGACGTGGCTCTTCACTTTCTCAGCTCCTTTTGTAATGTCATAACAACTATTAACTATTCACAGCAACTATTAACTATTCACAACAACTATCTATTCACAACAACTATCTATCCAACGAAACAACTATACTCTGCTATGAACTAGTATCTATCTATCCTAGCGCTTCTTTTTTCTAAACACTCCACCTAACCCGCGTTTCGCCTCGAGGGCGCTGATGCGCCGGTCGCGCTGCAGCATCATGGCCGCAAACTCCTGATTTCGCACCCGGACCTCGTGCTCGTGTCTTGTTTCCATGGCGCTTGTAGCGACCGCGTGAGCTTCAGTGTCGGCTTGGCGGCTGGCGTTGGCGGTATCGAGTGCATCCTGCAGCGTCCGGATCTGCGTTCTCGCTGCTTGCAGTCGCTCTTGATGGACATCACGTTGCTCGTCCATCGCCCGTGTCGAGTCCAGACGAGCTTGGCGCTCGCGCTCCAAAGCGACCATCGACGCGGCCTCCAGTGCTGCGGCATGCGACTTGGCCGCTTGCAGCTCGGAGGCGAGTTGATTGCTGGAGGCAGCCATGGCGTCGCGCTCGGCCGTCACGTCACGCAGTGCGTTCTGGGCTGTGATAGCCTCTTGGGCGACGGCTGCAAGGACTCGTTTGCACTGAAACAGTTGGATCTGGGTGTGTTTGGCGGCCGATACGGCCGCTTCCATCTCCATTTCGTGCTTTCGTCGGCAGTCGGCGAGTGTTGCAATGGCCGCTGCAGCGAGACCTTTGACCGCCACGTTGTCTTCTTGAGCGTGGGCCAGTTGTATTTTGGACGCGGCAGCGGTCGAGGTCGCTCTGCTGTCGAGTGCGCGGTGCTCTTGCTGAGCGTGCTGAACGCGGTGCGGAGCTCGGTCATGTCGCGCTGCGCGCGCTCCTCGGTGCGGTGGAGTTGGATCTTGGTGTTGTGGAGCTCGACCTTGAGGTCAGCGCTGATCGTTGTGGCTGCCACACGCTGGACCCGCGCAGCTTCATGGAGGTCGGCGCCTTGGGTTCTGAGCTCGGAAATCGTATTGTCTCTGGCGACAATCGCTGCGTCCTTGGATGCAACGGCTGCCTGCAGCGCCTTGGTGTTTTCGGCCGCGCGCTCGGTCGTGCGGTGGAGCCGAATCTTCAAATTATGTACTTGGACCTTGAGGTTGGCGCTGATCTCGGTCGTTGCCACGCGCTGGACCCGCGCAGCTTCATGGAGGTCGGCGACGTTGGCGGTGAGGTCGTCAATGGTGGTGTCTTTGGCGGCGACTGTCGTCTGCAGCGCTTCGATGGTCTGGGCGCTGTCAAGCAACGGCCGGAGCTGGGTGTCGTACGCTGCCTTGGCAGCAGATAAAAGCTTGTAGGCAAAAGGGCGGAGGCCGAGAAGCACGCGGCGCATCCCGAGGGTGCGGACGAGCATGGCCATGAGGAGGCCGGCGGCGAGGTAGCGCTGGGATTTGGCACTTGTGCGCGGCATGTAGAGCGCAAGGAAGCCAAGCATCGGGGTCGGCGTCGTCGTCATCATGGTAGAACAGGTCACGTTTGTAAATGTGGTCTCTTGCTTCCTCTTATGGTAAAAGCAGCCTCCGAGCCTTTTGTACGACGCCTTTGCGTGAGCGCTGGCTAGCGGGTCATGGTTGAGAGATCCATGTCGGCCGTTCCCAGCGGCCTGGCACGAGAGGGTTGCATGTCCGTAGCGTATGGGTGTAGACACTAAGTTCACTTCGTGCGATATCAGGAGTCCGCTCTAAGCAATCTACGTAGCCCGTCGGGGTGACCAGCGATACGCCAGCGCTCACGCAAGGCGTCGTA